GGGGGGGGGGGGGAAATGCAAATGGCGTAGCAGCAGAACCCATCTGAGAAAGAGCCATAAAGACTGCCCATTCAACAAAAGAGTGTAGTGGTCAGGAGCAAAAGAACACTGTTACCGTGTTGTATTTTCATCAATATTGAAAGCTGGATTTTCCCTCTGAGAAAAAGACAGTAATAATACCATGAATTCTAGTGTGCACACTGTACACTGAAAAAAAAATTATCTCTGAAATCCACACCTCTATCATTGTGACAAGCACTACATATCCATCATAGAAAGGTGTCAAGGAACAAATGCTAGTTGCCTCTTTTGAAAGCTGTCCATCTTGAGAAACTCTTACTGGCAAATAAATGTTTTTCTCAGCTTGATGGGCTCATAACCAGTGTTCCCAAAATGAAACTTACAACAATCGACTCCCTCTGTCGAATTAATTTTGCTGGGAGGGGTGTAGAATTTGAATTTGTGTTTTATTTCTTTTTGTGGTGCCAATTTCAAATGTTTTTACCCACCTTTGCTCATGTCAGTTATCATTTTCTAATTTCAAAATGTCGCAAACAACAGATACTAATGATTATTATATGGGTTTTTGCCTAAAAAGTTGACAAACACATCTGATATGATTCAGTTTTTTTATTTACTTTCAAACAGGTTAATGAAAAACTAGGAAATACAAGTACATCTTTGTAAATAATAAAAAAAAATATTAATTTTCTAGAATTGTTATTTTGTTTATTTATTTATTTATTTATTTTATCGCTGAGACCAGGTTGCATGAAACAAGTCATCAAAGGTGACATGGTAAACCTACGGAAAAAAAATGGTGAGAATCACATTACTACAAAATCTAACATGACCAGCTATCACACTCAACCCCCTTCCCATTTCCCTTTTCAAATTATACTACTGAACTCTGTTAGAGTCAAAAGGTTGCATGACAAAGCAAATACAAATGATCCTTACCGCTGCTTTCTCAGGGTCCGGGTAGTCCCTCAGGTTTTCATCAATGAGTTCCCTCACCGCTTCCTTTAGGGATGTGGGGAAAACATAGGTGGGGCTTGTGCGTCCCCAAAACTCCCCCTCGCCGATGTGATTTCTGTACTGAGGGACAAAAAAGGAAAATTAGCAGAGTGAACAAGGTCAATGCAAAACATAAATGCATTGTGACGCCGATAAAAGAAATCATTGTCAAACTAAATTGCACTTCAGTTTTCAAACAAAAATGCCACGTGGCTGGACCTTGGACCACATCAGAAATTCAAGCAGAAAAAAGAAACAACTATAGGCAAATTAATCAGTGTGAGGAAATATTGGTAAGCGAGTGTTTTTATGTACAGGTAACAAAGGTTTCCTTCCACCTACCCAAAGAATGCCGAACAAGCAGCGGTACATTCGCTGGCATGCCTCCAGCGTTCGCCTTATTCTATTCAAAATTTGGCGAAGGCCCGGCGGTGTGCGATCAAAACTAAAATGAAAATACAGAAATCTTGTTTCTTTTCATTCAAAATACCACAAACAGAACTATTTCAGTCAAAATCATGTGAAAAATTTCCATATTTACCCGTGTTCTCGAAAGGCAACTTCTAGGGCTTCCATGTTCACGTGGACGGTAGAGCATGAAAGAGGATGTCAATACTCAGCTCCAAAGTTTTATTTCCATTCTAAAAGGGCGGTCTCCGCTTTAAAATCAAAGCAAGAATTATTAACAGATCTGTCAACATTATACTCTTTGGGGAATTCCACGCGAGCATGAAACCATAATTATCCCAGCATGTTGTCCTTATTTTTCCCGCTAAACAGCTCGTAGAAACTAAAGTTCTCTCACTTATATCTCGCAAACGAATCGCTCCAGAGATCTGAAATTTCACATGTAGATTTCATTTTCAGTGATCTTTCATATAAGAAAAAATTACTTTAATCCAACTGGGTCACTTTAGCCTCCGGTACCACCTTAAAGTGTCTATACGGCCAAGAGGGTTTTTGTGGTTTTGGTATCTCTATGTGTAAAAAGGTATTCCGAGAAAAAAAATTGGACTCCGACATTTTAACTCCCAAAGATCTAACTTTAAAGTTTCCGCTTCAGCCATGCCCAATGAAGTTGACAGTGAGTCAGTGCAAAAAAAGAGTCTTGGTTTCTGAATGAGTCATGACGTCAAGTCAGGAATTGCCAAATCCTGCTAGTTCAGGTCTCTGTTGTTTCAGTAGTGGTTAGGAGTTTTCATCGACAAAAAGCAAACAAACCAAAGTTGGTGAAGCAATGCGATCGTCAATCAAGCAAAATAGAAACATGAAGCTTTGAGAAGTTCTTGAAGTGACGTCATTTGTCACCAATCTTTCATTACATGGTCAACTTCGCTGGGCGGGGTCAAAGCGGGAAATTTAAAGCTTGATTTTATGGGAAAAAAGCACCAGAATTAATTCTTTTTGGTTTGAATACATTTTTAGATGTTGTAGAGATACCAAAACCACAAAAACCCTGTTGGCCTGTTGTAGACACTCATAGGATAAGTACAAAACTAGCAAGTGAAAAAAAGGTGTTCGCTGCAAAAGTCAGCTGAAACACATAAGCCCGCTTCCGCTTCCAAATGTATACCCACTCTGGCACCAAGCATGGGCTGCCAAGGAGCAAGCTCTCCGTTCACAGATCTCTCACACCACTGAGTCTCTAACAGGACACTCACAACAACTATGGCCATTAGTCCTTGGCAAGAGAGTGTTTCTCCAGAACCAGCTGGGCTTCAACCTGAACAAATGGGACAGATCAGGGATTCTTGTCGAATCTTCAGGCCACAATCAGTACCGCATCAAGGTAGATGGCTCTGGATGCCTCACTTTACAAAATTGCTGTTTCCTTTGTGCCTATACCCTGGCTATCCCATCCATCGAGCTGCTGCCTGACACCACCCTCACCACCTTGCACTGTCCACACTCCTGTGCCGCTGCCATCACTGCCCCACCACTTTGGAATCAGGTTCACCCTTCGACGTCCCAATCACCCTGCCAGGAGAAACTCTCTCCTCCACCTCAAGCACCTGCGCCTGGCGATGTGTCCTTGAACGCCCCTACAGCACCCACTTCAGGCACTACACTGGCCCTGGAACCTCCAGTAACACAGGCTGTGGTACCAGAGCCATTGTCACCCCTGCCAGCGTCACCACACCCATGTTGTGAAAGTCAGCCGCCAAAATGTTTTGAACCTGAGACAGGCCTATGGGTACCACGTCGAGTCCGTCAACCTATGTTAGCATATAGCTTTCCAGAGTAGGGGGAATGCAGAGTTTCATGCTAGTCAACCCTGTACCAGGACTTTCCTTAAATAAACCCGCTGACCAGGGACTCGTGCGCTCGGCCAAACGAGTCAGCTGTGTTTGTGTTTCGAACAGTGCGAACGATCTGAAGGACTTGCTCATTATTTCTCATCTTATGGAGTTCTTGCAAGTGTCTTCACTTCACTAGCTAAGTTTACTTGTATTGCATTGTGATTTTTGCATTCCTGTTCAATTGTAAAATGGTTCCTTCATCGTTGGCATTAAAGTGAATTTTGCTCATCGAGAAGGCTGTTTCTTCAGATATCAAATTAAAATACACTAAAATCATGTTCTATTGTTACCTCCCAGGCTGTTTAGTCGTAATTTTGGACTAACTGGACAAAGAACAAACTCAGTAAGAGTCTTCACATTAGTAAAACTCAATGAAGGATTGCAGATAGGTCTTAAGGTAAGGACTGCAATGGGTCTATGGACCTGAGCTTTGCCAATTAGTGAGAATTTTGCTTTAGTTCTCAGGTAAGGTAACTGACATTATTGGGTTTGATGACTTGGGATCCCTCCATTATATATGCAAAATAGAGGCCAGCAACTGCACATCCTCTAGAGACTACCACTTAAGTTTTGGCAAACAAAAATTGTACTATTGATTTACACATCTTTTAAAACCTCTCACAAGTTTGATGATTCTTGGAGACACATCTGTTGTTATTTTGTCACATGGAAATATGGTTGCCATTCTCTTCAGCAACCTTCTCAGTGCCTCTTTTTCCATTCCAGTGGAATTGCCTCCCGTCTCTCTTCTGTGAATAACTTCAAAATTGACTACAATGTTAGTGAATTGCTCCATGAGGGTGTAAACACATTAACGGGGACCGTGACCTGGGGAGTCATTTCGACCATCTCCATGTAGGCACACATCCTCATAATCGACAAAGAGCTTTTTCACTATCTCATTCATTTCCATCCATACCTCCTCCACCACTTCCACAGCACAATTTTCGAGTAAGCACCTCAGAGGACACCCACTTCTTGTTGTGGCCATTGGTAGATTTTGAAAACATCTCCAGATTTGGTCTCATGGGTAAATGGGCCTATGCAAACGTGCCCATCAATCTCCACTGTTCACTTAGACCCAGCTAACTCCTACAGTTTTTCTGCTGAAACAACGAAATGACTTCGTTCATGAAGAACTGCAAATTCTTTTAATTCATTACCAATGTTAGTTATTTTGGCTAATGAATTTTCAAAGTCAAGTAACAGCCCCCTGTTGGTAATAACTTTCCTTGATGGTTCTTTATTTGGTTTTGATTCATTGGCTGTACTGCAACCCATTTGGGGGAGCTTGTATATCCTTGTGCACAATAATAGCTTCCTCCTCAACAGGTAGAGGTTGAAAAGTTCGTAGGGAGGTTTGTGACATGCTGACCGCATCTTCCACCATGGTGATTGTACGGTCATCAACCTCAACACTAATATCCATATCTTCACAAACCAACTTGGTGTCATCATCATTGTTGAGTTGCAATTCATGACTATAAGAAAATGAAGAAAAAGTCAAATTGTGACTTATGTGTAAAAACCCTTTCTAAACACCTACATTCATAATTTTCAATTGCTGTTTTGATTTGCTCCTATTTACTTTTAAAAGACGAAAACTTCATTGA